AAGCCACTGCGCCACAAGCCGCACAACCCCCTGCGTGGCGTCCCGCACACCGTCCCCACCGAGCACCGCGGCGCCGCGCGTCAGGAGGAGCGCCGCGTTGCGCAGGACTGCGCTGATGGCACCCTTTACGTTGCTGTTCGTCGCGCGCAGCAGCGGCTGCGGGGCCTTCGTCACAGCCGTGAGCAGGAGAGCCAGCTGCGGCGCCATCAACACCGTCCCCGCTGGAGGCTTGTCCAACGCAGCGGCGGCGTGGGCGATGAGGCGCATCGTCACGAGGGCCTCTGCGTCCGGCACGTTGCGGAGATTCTGCATGCGCTCCGCCAGAAAAGCCCGCGCGGCCGACTGCTCACCGTCGCCAAGCAACAGAAGCAGCCAGCCGAATGGGTGAGCTGCGGCAGCGAGCAGGTGGCTGAGCAGATCCACCGCGGGAAAGCGTGAGGACTCCGGCAACCGGTGGTAGAGCGCCATAATTTCCTCAATGATCCCCACGCTTGGCTCTCCCTTCGCCGCTGCCACAACCCGCGGCACCACCTCCACAAGCTGCGAATCCCCCGTCAACTCGCCGATTTTCTTCTGCGCCCCGGCAGCGTTCAGCGCGGTGAATAGCTTGTAGGAGTCCCACGGCACTATGACGCTCCTCTCATCTCCTGGTGTGGCCGCGGATCTCTGCGTTGCTTGCTGTTGCTGCAGCGCCATGCCCTCACGTGCGTATCCCGAAAAAGCGACCTCGTTCGCGGAGACACCCGCTGCCTCCATGTTGCGCAGCGCCTCCCCCCAGCTGGGGATGTGCGTGGCACCGGTCTGGCGCAGCGCAGCGGCCTCGCGGGCAAATTCGGAAAAGGTGGGTTCAACGGCTCCTGCTGTCACGGATGTCATTCCGATTTCTCCTCCCCCTGCTGCTGCTGCGGGTGACGACCCACTTCCTAACTGCGCGTCTGTGGGGTCGACGTTGCTCAGGATAAAATTCTGTATCTCCTCTTTGTGACCCTGCGACACCAGGCGGCTGTTCTCGTTGATGAAGTTCTGCGCAGCGTCAAACACACTTTGGCCTCTGTCGTAGGAGAGCTTAAGCATCTTCCCGTTCACATCCACGTCGAAGACGTAGTCATGCGGCACACCGTTCAGATACGTTTTCGCCCGCGGCTGCGGGTTGCCGGTGTAAGAGTTACCCTGCGGTCCCTCGACAACGGTGCCAACCTTGTCCCAGCGACCGCAGTTCCACACGTACACCTCAATCGAGCCGCTCTCCGTGCGTGCGAGCAGCCGCTCCCCCTGCGCCGCGCCCTTGCGGAGGTGCAGCTTGTCCACACTCGGCATCGACGCGGTGTCGAGGCCAGCAGCGGCGGCCACCTTCACATCAATTGTCTGCGCGGCGATGGCAGTCTCGAGTGCCTGCAGCTTCTCCACCGACGCCATTTTATCGTCGTGCGTGGTCCAGACACGCAGCACGCCGTCCGCGCTACCTGTCGCAATGTCACCCGTACTCGTCACACACACAGACCACACAACGCACGGGTGGTTAATGCTCTGCACGACCACAGCTTCACCCCCAGCAACAGCTGGCACGGTGACATCCACCACGCCGCCGCGCCACACCTTCACGGTGCGGTCCTCCGACGCGGAGAAAAGAAGGTGCCGTGACGGGCAGTAGCAGAGGCCGTACAGCAGACTGTCGTGCGCCACCAGAATGCGCAACGGGGTGGGGCCTGCTGTTGTGTCCCAAATCGCAATAGTCGCATCGTTGCTCCCAGAGGCAAACCGTGTCGCGCTCATCGCGCACACGCACTGCACGACGTCCTTGTGCCCTTCAAAGACAGCGAGCGTGGCACCCGTCACCACGTCCCACTGGTGCACCGTCTTGTCGCCCGAGGCGCTGACAACCGTGGTGGTCCCGGGAAGCTGTGCGACGCCCCGCACCGCTGTCTTGTGTGCGGTGTAGCTCTGCTTCACGTCGCCCGTCACGCCGTTGAATACGATGCACACGCCGCCCCAGTCGCCTGTCACGATGTCACCGCTCGGCTGCAGCACTGCGCCGCAGCAGACGCCGTGCGCATGGGCGTCGAGCACGGCCTCCAGCCCGGCGGTGGCGGGGTTCCACAGCGCCACGTGCTTGTCGTTGCTGCCGGTCACAATGCAGGCCTCGCCGTCGAGCAGCGCGGCGGCGGGGTGCCACAGAGCGAAATTCACGAACGCCGTGTGGCCAACGAACGCGACACCCGCCGAGATGTTATCGGTCGGCGGCGGCGACTCGTGCAGCATTGCCGTCTGGTCGCGCGACGCGGTAAGGAGGACGCCGTCGGCAGACGACACGTGACGCACGTCGCTGGAGTGAATGAACCCATCCGCGCGGAGTACGAAGTAGTCGTCGTTGCTGTTGGCCATGCCGCTATAGAGTAATCAGCGCAGGTTTTTTTTTCGTTGTTTTCTTGTTGTTGTTGTTGTTGTTGCGTTCTTCTTTCCTTCCTTCGTTTGTAGTATGGCTTTATGCTTGCCGATGGGGGCCACCAACCTCCCCTCTTGCGTCGCCAAAAAGCCAACAAAAAAAAAGGGGAATGAGGACACACAAACACACACACATATGTAATGGCGCTTAGGGGTGACCCAACACGAAAATCAGCAGCACCAGCAACAGTGCTGGAGGAAGAAGAAGAATGAGCCTCAGCAGGCATTCAGCGGGATTCCATACCCGATGTGTATGTGTGTGTGTGTGTTTGGTTGTGACTTTCACTCAGACGTGGTCGGAGCGCATTCCACCGGAGGCCCTCCTCGAAGAACAAGAGCAGCTCGTCAAGGCCGATCTTACCCGTACACCGTGCCAGGATCTCAGGGTTACCGCACTTACTCTTCCTCTGTCCACAACGAAAACTGAGACATGTGCGTGAATACGGCGTCGTTGAGGACGAAGAGGTTCGTCCGCCTCTTCCCGCATGCCCTGGGACGCGCAAAACGCGAAGCACCACCGCACCGTATCAAGCCGCACGTGTGGCTCCTCTGCGGCTCGCCACTCTCTGCACCAAGTGTGGCGGTGCGGGCNCCGCAGCTGTAGGAATTCCATCGAGTCGAGCGGGACATCCGAGTGCACCGCTTTCTACTCACACCCCGCGCCCAAAACCCACAAAACCGCGCAGATGCGGGGTGATGCCGGGGTGGGGGAAGGGCGCTGTGCAGCAGGCACCTGCTCTTGGGGGCGCCCGTTGCGCATGCCCCGCTGAGCTGAATCCGCGAGCCGAGCGGCACACCCTACGGGGGGCCGACGCACAGCAGAGCGCCGGCGCGACTCCCCGCGCCCCAAAGCCGCCACCACCCTTGCACGCACCCTACAGAGAGGAGATGGGGTGGAACGCAAAAAAAAGCAAAAACATGCAGAAAACAAAAAACAAAAACAAAAACAAAGACAGACACGGCAGGGGTTGGTGCAACAAAAAGAAAATCACGGAGCATCCATTACCCCCCTCCTCTCTCCATTCCCGTCCCCAAGCGGCAAGCGAGAGTAAGAGAAGCACAGAGGCCGTTACGCGGTCTCCAGCAACTGCAGCAGTTGGAGGCCGTAGCGCGCTGCGTGGTACGACGCCCAGCGGTGAGAACCCGCCACGCCTTCCCACGTGACCACCACCTCCTCCTCCTCCAGCTCTGCCCATGATGCCGTCGCGTAATGTGCTGCGAACCCGAGCTCGTCGCGCAGCCTCCAGCCACACGGAGGACGTTCACGGAGGCCCCAGTGCATCAAGGCGAGGCGCAGAACCCACACCGCCTCATGGCCCTTGTCGCAGTGCCGCCGCAACTCACACGCAGTGGCCGCCAGAAGCCGCTGCCACATTTCTTGAGGCGCCGACCCGCCGCTGTCAGCCGCCGTCACTTGCTGCAGGAGAAAGATCAGGTAGGAAGCAGCAGAGGTGTCACCGTTATGCGCCTCAAAAAAACGCAACACAGTATCTGATTCCTGGAGCAAGAGCAGCCGAAATATTCCTCTTTTGGCAGAATCCTCCTGTCCTCCTTCTTCCTCCTCTTTTTTCGGTGCCAGGAGGGCGATGACACGCCGGCGGTAGTTCCAAGCATTATAGTTCATTGGGTGCTTGTCAGCGGCCTCCAGCAGCATCACTCGATCATGCCAATGGAAAGCTTCCAGACCAACGAAGATGCCTCTCGCAAGCAGCTGCCGCACCACCCACTCGCGTTGCACCCAAACTTCCTGTTTTTTGTGGTGACAACTCAGCAGGAGAGATGTCAACAACAACTCACGCAGCAGCGCAAACTGACGGCAACTCTCCTCTGTGTCATTGTCGTTCATCAGAGCACTCAGGTATCGACGCCTCCTGTTCCAGAGACCGTCGTGGGCGGGAAGCAGCAGTAGCGCCAGCGCCACCGTCTCCGGTGTGAGGTCCTCCACGAGAGGACCAAGAAGAGGCGGCGCGGCTCCAACAACATGCGTGAGCGACTGCTGTCGTTCTTCGTGCTGTTGTTGCTGCTGCTTTAGTTGGTGCTTTTCACAGAGCAGACATGTGAGCGCCTCGCCTACCACCTCTGCACCGAGCCCTACAACTAGTTCAAAGGAGTTCTGCTGCTGCGGGACGACTTGCATCATCCCCCAGCCAGACGGCATTCCCTCCAGCGCCACGGTGGGGAGTAGAGCGAGTGAGCAACTGACGCGCTGCTCCGCGTAGAGGCGCCGCGCCGATTCCGCGAGTGCTACGTGGAGCCGCTCAGCGATTTCCAGCGCTGCAGCTGGTGTCTGCCTAGCACCCTCTCCTCCACATGCGTGAGTATATGTGTGCATGTAACGTGTGTGTGAGCTGCTTGCAGGCACACCTGTTGCTCCTTGTCCTGCGCGGGGGAGGCGTAGAAGCGATAGAGGGGGAGAGAGCATGCACGCCAACACAGACATTCACGCAGAATGGAGGCGGGGTTGGGCATACCTCACGTGCTTGAATAATGCCGGCCGTGCGGACCAAAACGATGACTGAATAGGAGACCCGACGGGACTCTTACTGCATACAGATGTGCTGGTTTGCCATCGCCCAAGACAAGAAAAAAAGGGGAATAATCGACACTCAGCCACACACATATATATATGCTTTCCATATCAACAACACAACGCTGCAGGGCTTCCTTATGCGCAGGTCATCATCGCACGTGCTCACGCCGGGGTACAACAGCAACCCGAGCGGTCGTCGTGCATTGCGCTGCCGTCGAAGAGCCGACCTGACAAGCGACAGTTGTTACGACCAGCATCCATCCCGCACTGGAAAAAAAAAAGGCCTACCGCAGCATATTTCGCTGGCCACCACTCATCCCAGACTCAATCAGCATCAGCCTCATCTCTACCATACCAGGCCAGTCCAAAGGAACGGGACGCAGCCGCATTCCACGCCTTCACGCTTCCACAAGAAACCGCCAGGCGGCGGTGACGCTGACCTGCGCACGACACCTGGCAGCCAGCAGCAAGCCCCAACACGATGCGATCCGCACAACTCAACATCTTCAGCCACACATCCCAAACGTTGCACTGCACGTCGTTCACCGGACAGTAAGCACCGGCTGTTGTGCTTTCACGCACCCAAACAAACACACCTTGAGGCCTCCTGCTTCGGCGTCGCGGAGGGCCACCACGAGGCTGCAGGCGCACCGACGGCGATGGAATCCGGATAAATAGGCAAAACACACACCTTTTTCACCAGTGCCAGTGTATTCATGACCGGCAGCAGCGTATACAGGAATATCGTGGGGGAAAGAAAAGAAGAGCTGCATGTCTTTTGAAGGCAAGTAACATTGCCTCGGTCATAGAGTGTGGCGTTTGTGCGATGCTCACGTGACCGCGGCAAGGTATCGGGGGCGTCACCACCTTCAATGGGCCAGAGTAATCCAGACAGAATGCACTTTTCGGCCCCATAAGGCTGGCGGTGAGTCACACCCACTCACCACAGACGGAGTGAGTGGAGACATTGATATGCTCAAAGCACACAGTTAAGAGGGTGACACCGTCGCCGTCGCCGCCCATGAAGGTGGGAAGGAAGTCGAAGTATGGCTAAATGCTGCTGCTTTGAGTGTTGCTACCACGACTCTTGTGGTGTGTCTGCCTCGGCCAGATCCTTGCACCCTCTTGCCCGGCGTGTGGAGGC